GGAATGGTGCCCCAAGCACCAACATGCCATGCAGGCCCTCAAGGAGGTGGTAACCACCCACGCCTCCCTAGCAGCACGATGCCCAGAAGGGGAGCTCTGGCTCCATGTAAAGGTGTCCAATGGGGGGCCCCATTGGAGCTTATGGCAAAGGGATACACCTAAGGCAGAGGGAAAGCCCCTAGGGTTTTGGAGCCAAGGCTGGAAAGGGGCTGAAGCCCGGTACGCCCTACTAGAACAAATGCTGTGTGCAGCAGCCAGAGATTTAGAGGCCCTGAGAGGGGAGTTACCCACTGTCATAACCATCCTGGTCCCCACCCTGGGAACGGCGTTGTCTGACCAACACCTCCTACCTGGAGGAAGGGCCCAAGAAACAACAGTGCAAAAATGGATCTAATGTATTTTAAGTCAGGCTCAGTGGGTAACCCCAAAGCAGCACTAGTAGAAAAAGTCAAAGGAAACATAGTTAACCTATACCCAGACACAGCCAGCTCTGATGAGCCATCTCCCATCAAGGAAGCACCTCCCTTCTCACCCGACATGGAAACATCAGAAGACGTAGAGGTCTGGTTTACCGATGGCCAAGCCGAAGGTCGCACCTGGAGGAGTGCTGCCATAGGGGTTCGAGATGGTAAGCAGCTTAAGATGTGGGGAAAAGGCCAAAGTGCGCAGTATGCCGAACTGGCCGCTGTAGTCAACGTAGCCAAGTATGAACTGTTACTAGGGTCAGGCTATACAAAACCCATTTATATCTACTGTGATTCTTGGATGGTAGAAGAGGGTTGCACCAAGTGGCTACCCCTGTGGAAAAAGGAAAACTTCAAAAGGCGAGGCAGAGACATATGGAGCTGTGATGAGTGGGAGGCCTTCCCTTACATATATGACATGTTAGTGCAGCACATGGGAGCAAAAAAGCTGAAGGGCCTGAAGCAAAGTGGAACAGGCAAGTAGATGGGCTAACCAAAGACAGCACAGAAGCCCTTGTTGCTGAAGCAGAGGCTCAGCCACCCCCAGAGAATGTGCCCGGCCCCTCCCTCCAGCAGACCCCTGGAGTGCTAGCCACAAAATGGCTGCAGTGGCAGCATGGGCACCCTGGCCACAATGGCACTGCTCACCTAGCGGCCACCTGGGGCATTCACCTAACTAAAAGGGAAGCACAGGAATTGGTCAACTTCTGCATCACCTGCCAGGAAGTCAAGGCCCGACTAACCCCTGCCTCGACTACCCCTTTGTCGTTACGTGACGGAAAGATAATATGGCAAGTTTGGCAATGCGACTTTATAGGCCCACTTCCCCACACCCCCAAAAATTGACAGTATGTATTTGTAGCAGTGAAAGCAGTCACCGGAATGATGTTTGCCCGCGCCTCCACCAAGGCCACTGCAGAGGACACCTGTGCAGCACTGGAAAACCTGTTAGCCACCTACCCACCTCCCGTGGAGCTGCAAAGTGACAACAGTTCACATTTTTGCAACCGTCTTGTCTATGAGTGGGCCGCGAAACATCATGTGCTGTGGACCTATCACATTCCTTATCACCTGCAATCTAATGGACTGGTAGAACGAGCCAACAGTATCTTAAAGTGTAACCTGTGAATGGCTGCTAGTTCGGCCCTCAAGGACTGCGACCTGCACCTGGATCGCTCAGTTAACCGGGCCAACAATCAGCCCCACGCTGGAGTGTGGCAGGGCACTGTTTGTGTCTGCCACTTTAAGGGCCTGGAGCTGGCAGATGCCTGATGAGGGTAGCCATTTTGAATCTGGGGCTGCCCATATAAACAGGGCAGTTCTGCTGCTGGAGGCCAGGCAACAACACCGCCTGGCTGGAGGGCTCCTGCTATCATCTGGAGGTAAGGGAGGAGCTGTAGGGAATAGTAAGGAGGCTCCTGGTCCTGGGTACAACCTAAAACTGCACCCTGCCGAGAGTCGGGGGCCTGGTGGGGCTCCCAGTGCCACAGAAGCTCCCAGAAAATGCCACACCAGTTACCAGCCCGGTGAAAGGCGGGTCGGGGCGCCTTAGCCCTTAGCCCCCACAACCGGGTGGGTTACCCCTTGTTTGGAGGGCTTGGTGGACCCGTGGAGAGAGAGAAAAGGCCATAGACTCACGCCTGTCTGGACTTCCCCTGACTGGTCAATGCTGGGGCCAGGACTGGAATGGTCAAAGGGCCAGGGGCACACCACGAGGAATGCCCAAGAGCTGTGCGCCTGGGGTTCCAGCTGGCCTGGAGGTGGGCCAGGAATAGTGAGCCGAAGGTCCCAGGGGGGAACCACACCCAAAGGGGAAGCAGTTCAGGGAGCTATGCTGCCTGGTATGAAGGTGGAATAGACTGTCTGAGGAGAGGAATCCAGGTGGGGTTCAGTTAGGAGAATTCTGTGGCCCAGTTTGGGGGGGCCAGTGATGATGAGAACAGCTAGATGCCATCTGCAAGGCTTGGGCTGCGGTGTAGGGAAGGAATGGAGCCACAGACAGTGCCCCCTGGCATCGGGGAAGGAAATGGGCAGCCTCCCGCTTATTAACATCCATTAACCAATTTATTTCAACAAGGCGTGCCAGGCAAGAAGGCAGGCGGTTAGCCCAGAAACAGGTAGGCGGGCCACAGGGAAATTGGCCCCAAGAAGGCTCCCTGTTACATGGAGGAAGCCCCATGAAGCAAGCCTTTGGTCAAAGCGGGCCCCGCGAGCCAGCAGTGGAACAGTCAAGGGGTGGCTGGGGGAAACTCCAGGCAGGAGACCAGGTAGTAGTTAGGCATCTGCAGGGGGACAAAGGGGAAGGGGTGTTAATGGCACGGGACACATATAACACACATTACTCATGCCATCTAATGAGAGTCACACTCCATTTTTCCTTGTTCCTGCAGATTGGGTCCATCCACGGGCACAGCCATAGAGGCCTCAGGGTTCTCTGGAGTCATCATCCTGCTCCAGAGCAACATTGCCACCCTCATCCAGCAATGAAGGGGTGGAATGCCATCATGATGGGACTGCTAGTCGTTTGCTATTGTTTGACTAATGTGGAGCATTCCCATGCTCCCACACCCCAGATCGCACCCACTGCCAGGGCCTCAGACCCACTAGAATACTGGGAGCACCCAGCTGCAATCAAAGAAGTGCGAAACTGGCCTTTCAGTCGCCAGCGGTGGATTGTGGACTGGCAAGGAGGAATCTGTCAATGTTACTGTGGGACAGGGTGGTTGCTCGGTTTCCTCCCATATGCCAGGATCGGGAAAAATGAGTGTGGGACGGGAAGATTGTTGTGTTTTCTTCCAACGGCCCTGGTGCTATTATATTCTGCCAGCAGGTACGCTGCCCACCCTGGGTCCCAATGTGACCACTGCTGCAACCCCACCTGCAGCTCAAAATTCTATAACCACCCGGAGCCCAAGGAGGCGACCAAACCCTCCAACTCCACCTCCATGGGAGATGATAGTTCCAGCAGTTCCCCTGCCTGATGACACTTTAGCACAACAGTGTACAGCTCACCAAATACACCAGTCCTCCAAGTACAGCAAGGTACTGTGCTGGTTTAAAAATGGCTCGTATGCTGTCAAGTGGTGGTCCACAGAATGGGAGGCCAACACGCCCCATATTCTGGATATTTTGTGGTTCCGCCATATGGATGAGGGGGTCATGCTCATGGAATTGAATACACAATAGCTGCATATCACCAATCACCCTGGGAAAATCTGCAGGGCACAACCCTGGTCAACACAGAACAACTGGCCAAGCCCATGGGGGGCACCGTGCCAGAATCATTTCTGCAAGATCCCAAAGCCATAGACCTGGGCAGTGTGCATTTAAGTACACAGATGGGGACACACCCGAGCGAATATACTCCTTCGACCAATCCAACTGGGAGATTTACCAATCCCAAAGGGAACAAGAAATATGTTTAAACACCCGAACAGGAGAACCCCTTTCCATTTTTTGCATTAAGCAGGGATGTACGTTGTTAATCCAGAAGGAGCCACTACAGGTGTACCCGCTACCTCACTTATTTAACATCACTCCCTGGTGGAGGTTCCAAACAAGGGCTCCGGTTCTCCTTAATGCCTCCTTGTTCAATGCCTGTATCACATTTAACTCCAAGCAATGGTTTGTCAGAATAGCATTTCCTAACTCCTCTGCCAGCACTTGGTTGACAGAACATATGTTGCACTGGACCTGGCCAACTGTTTTCCAACCCACAGCTCAGCCTCCAATCACCCAGAAAAAAAGAGATACCTTAGACCATGTGTGGAATGGGCTCAATTCAGCCATGGGAGTTTGGAACATAGATAAATCCCAGAAAAACACCCAAGGAATCATGGATATATGGCAAGCCATAGGTTTTCTCACTAAGGGAGGTATGATTGATAACATGGCCTTAGAATACACTGAGTTAGTGGCAACCATTGGCCAAAAAGCAGCACAAATAAGTTACCTTTTGATGCATGCAGCCTTCCAAGCCAATGTTAATCAAACCTGGAGCACTGCTTGTGCTCAAGTGCAGCTTTCACTTAACCTTCATTTTTCCCAGGTGATGGGTGATCTCAGACACAAAGAATGGCCTTTTGGTTTAGCGCACCATGGACTACCCCCAGCTTTAGCTCAATGGTTAGTTTACCGAGACACATGGAGCACATGCTGGGAGGGGTGTAGCAAGACAAAATGCTTTTTCATCGTACACAGGGTAGCAAATGGCACATGGTCCACCACCCATCTCTTGACAACAGGACTAGGGGGTGGGTGCATGTGGGACGGGGACTTACAGCATCCCATTTGGGAAATTGTAACCCCCGACTGTCCCAAGTATTTAGCCCAATCCCCAGTTTACCCTGTAAATGGCATTCTAATAGGCTTGGGAACTTTATGGAGAGGGTGGCCTAATAGTCGCCCTAACATGGTTTGTGTAACACCCCTACCAGCAACTCCCTATATTACCCTAGCCCAGCGAGTTTGCTGGAAAGGTCCTGTCCGCTTATATCATCCTAACAGCACGTTTTGGACCTCCTGCACCAGCTGTTGTGCAGAAGCTCAAGATTTCCCAGGGGAATCAGCTACCCTATACGTCCAAGACCAGGAAGCCACCTTAATGTGGCCGAAAACCCAATTAGAAAGCGTCACCCTTAACCTAAGCCTTCCAAAATCCTGGGTTAAAGATGTAGACATGCCCCAGCTAAAGGAATGGGGTAAAGTAGTGGCCCACATAAAAGGTTTGTTCGAAGATGCCCCAAAAGGAAAACAACTTGCCCTCATAGCTCAAGAGGGAGGGCGAATTATTAAATGCGCTACTAATATTCCCCCGCTGCGTAAGTGGTGTGAAGTGGTCTGTACTGTGCAAATGTATACCTTTACTAAAGGTGCTGCTTTTCCTTGGTTTGTAGGAGTACTAAGTTTAGTCATAGGAATATTATTATTCAATATAATCTTTAAACGTTGTTGTTATAAAATGAAGTTTAATACTCATGCCAAAGTAAATGTTGTTGCTTCTGCCAACCATGTATACACCACCTGGCAGAAATCATATTTGTAAGCCTTACCAAATGCTCCAAAGAAGCAAGGGGTGGATTGTGATGGCAAGAACCAGAGGGATTAATAAGCAATAAATATGTGCTTCTTGGAGGTATTTGGAATTTTTGCCTCATATAAAGCTTTTAAGTCTGTAACCCGCAAATATAACTTGTCTGTCATACATTTAACCAAAATGATAAAACTAACTGTTCATGGAACTAGGGTAACAGCTATAGGGCAAGATTGTGAGTGGCTATAAAGCCAACAGATTAGCATAAGACTAGGTATAAAAAGCACGTGTGTCAGGTGACCAGCAGGAAGGAGGGAATAGAACGGTCATTGCTGTTCCAGCCCAGACTCCTGGTGTGAGTGAGGATCGGATCCTGATCAAGGGACCTTCCCCGGAATCCCTCCGACAGTGTCGATTGGGGATGCCTGACTTCACTGGAATCACTTGGCGCACACCTGGCATCAAGGGACTATCAATAAGTTGCCAAACACGTCTGTCTATCTGTTGTTTTGAACAGCCCAGTGCCTGATACCCTCGCAGTGCCCAGTTGGCCTGCAACTGAATAGATCCATCTATCTGTTGCTATTATCTGTTGTTATTATTTACTATTAGCTCTTTAATACTGCATTATCTGCTTATCGCATTTATCTTTCTGTTAACTGTTGTGTGTGTAAGCTTTAATAAATTTGCCTTTGCTTCACTCCCAACTTTGCCTCCTCGATCCGAAACTGAACCAAACAGCCCAGTGGCTGATACCCTCGCAGCGCCCAGTTGGCCTGCAATAGAATTGATACACTCACAGTGCCCAGCTGGCCTGTGACAAGGGGGAGCTGTCCCGGATCCAGGGCAGCTCCTCCCACCCTATGGAGAATGGGGCTTAGCCAGGGAGCATTTGTAGCTACCTGCTGCCTGAACTGACCCAGAGCAAATTGCTCATGGCCAGGGTCTAAACATGTGCTTCGACACATTAACTAAATGTGCCATTTTTCTAGTACTTGTTTGTACTGGTACTAGCAAACAGTCCAGTAAACTAATTTAATGTGCAGTAATTGACACTTACATGTAGACAATGACACTTCACTATGCATTAGATTAGTCTAATGCACGGTAAAGTTTCTCATGTAGATACAACTAATCTGTCCCTACTTTGGCCCTGTTTCCCCTGAGGCTCCTCTCTCTAGTCCTTAATCTTGTCCCCTCTGCCAAGTTCCTACAGCTAACTTGCATACCTTGAACCTCGCACTGATTCTTCAGGATTTCCTTCTATCACCTGTCTTCAGCTTCCTGGCTCAAATGTGCCTGCTTGCCACTTTTCCCTATACCTAGCTGTGGCCCCTGGGGCCCCGTTTATGAGTTCCAGGGTGATTTGGCTGCTAAGCAGTTCAGTAGTCTCCCTGGAGTAAGCAGCACAGATCTGCTAATCATGCTCTATGGACATGCTGGGTATCCACAGGACTTCCCTTAGTATGTTCACAAAGATTGCTGCAGAACTGTTCTTACCAGATCTATCAGTCCTTCAAGTAACATTCTTTCTGCAGAAGAACATCCTGAAGAGGTACCTCAATTGTATCATATCACCGCTATACAAGATGTGCTGGAGAAAAAAAATACAAACATATTTTACTTTTCACATCTGTTAAACAAGATGGAAAATCTTGTTCAAAAAGGAAACATTCAGACACGTCAGCTTGTATGTCAACTTCTGTTCAGCGATTTCCCCATACTTCATCATAAGCTTGACTCTTATTATGAAGTGCCCTTTGATACCCGAATTCAGTCCATAGACCATGAAGAGCCATCTACTAAGACTATAGGACAAAAAAAAGCAAACAAGGACAAGTTAAGCAGCAGAGCAAAACTTCAATAAAATGATGGCAAATAGGGATAAAAGCTGATATTACCCAAACAAGATCACAGCAAAAGCAACCAGTAACCAGAGTGAATTCAAATGTTAATTTTTCTGCTACTTTCTGTCCCACTGCTTGGGCTTTGTGCTTACAGCACTGAAATACCTGTTCCCTAAAGAAAAACAAGGCCTGGAGTTGGCATTGTAAACCTTCCAATTAACTCAGACAGAAGTAAGCAACTTACAAGAGTCTCTGAACAATATTTAGGTCATGCAGCCTTCTGAAACATTTCTGAAGAAACAGCAATATGGTCTGAAGTACAGCCTGCTCAGCACCATGACAACATGAGAATGAAGTACATGGACAGTACTGATGCCTTGGAACTAACCAAAAACTTATCTGTCATTAATATGAATAATTTAATTAACCTTAACTTTCCAGTGTGACTCATACTAGTAAAAGTTCCATCAGAATTGTGCAGAATCAAGACATGGCTATGCTTAATTAATTACATGGAACTTCATGGGAAGAATAAGCCCAGCAATAGGATTTGTATAAACAGTAGCAAACTGATTGAGTTTGAAAGCTAGAGGAATGCTAGCACCTCTTGAGGAATAAACTTGTATTATTTCATACACCACTAATGCTCTTTTTGACAGTAGAGAGAGTTAACAGTGTTAGTCCAAGGTCAGGCAGAAGGCAGGGCGGGGTGGCACCTCACAGACTCTCTCATTCTGAGAGGCATAAGCTTTTGTAAGTGACAGCCTACTTAGATGCCATGAACAGACTGATATTATATGATTTTCCAGTTGCATAAGAATGAATGTATCTTGCAATTAAATACTTACGTATTTTTCTCTCCAGTGCAACTGCAGTAGAATACTAGAATTGAAGCGTTAATGGCATTCATAGCATCTGACAAGGTAGGCTGTCCCCTACAAAAAGTTTTTAACTATAGTATTAATCATTCCTTGATTAAAACGTCTGCGTCTGACAACAGTGAGCAAATCAAAGGTACCGCGACAGGTGAAAATGTACCAAGGAAAAACAGAAACTGAGGATCTGTGTGATTTACTCACCAAAGGGAAACTAAAAACACTGAATTAAACCATTTTTTCCTTAATTGGGAATTCTTATAAAAAAGAAGAATTTAGAATATAGCTAAATTCAGTCTGAAGTCTAACAAACAGAAGAGGGAAAACTGGGGAAATATCACAAAAAGGAAAGGGCCTGCTCATATAGTCAGATCCATATTTCCACAGCAAACTGTGGAATTTTTACCAAAAAAGTCCTATATTGCCATTTCCATTCTTTCAACTTCCCTTATTTGTTTGGCATAATATTAACATTATAGTACAGTATTATTAATCTCTAGGTGCAGCTAGAGCTACTGGGAAAGAAAGCAGCTTATATGAACGGTCAAAAAATTGCAATCTGATGGTACACCGATAGCAGAAAAGAGAAAGCTTTAAGTATAAGAAGAGTAATTTCCATATCCAGGTCAAGAAATATGACAAACACAGAACTGTACCTAAGTCTGAATCTAGACTGACAAGTCAAGGAAGTCTAAGGCTGCTGGGCTCCATTGTTTTACCACAACCAACAAAAATACTTTAAGCAGGCCAATAAATGACCAGAAAAGAAATGGCAGCTTATTAGACAAGAGCAAAAAGCCCAGTAAAGGCATCAGTAAGCAAAGAGCCAGTATCTTCCTACTTCCTTTGACAGCCTGGGAAGTCATGGATCCATATCCAATCACTGGTAATAGAATGAGTTTCTTTAAAACCCTTCTCAGAGTCAATAAGTCAGGATGAAGGGCAGGAAAGCAGGAAAGCCAGATTTGTTCCTCAACATGCTGTTCCAACACTGTGGACACCTATACTTTGATCTTAATCTATGAGATTTTAAACCGCAAAGGAAATAAGTAATTCAATTACTTCCTGTTGTGAAGAACCTATTATCAAGAGATACCAGCTGTGGCAAAGGGCCCCTCAGAACAGAGTCTCATCTTCAGCCCACCCACCTGTCTAGGGGCAGTCTGCCCTGCCCTGCTTGCCATGACTTGATGAATAAATAACTGATGTAAAATGCCGGGTGCTGCCCATTTAGAGCCCCAATGGCTAGGGCATTACACATAGCTCCAACCTTTCTTATACCGTGTCCTATGCCGTGCAGATGGCATCATAAGTGAGTTATATCACTGGCCTGGGGCCAGGCCAAACTCTGCCCCGTGTAGGGCCTCTAACACAGGGGTGGGCAAAATGCGGCCCAGGGGCCAGATGCAGCCTGCCAGGCCATTCTATCCAGCCCACGGGGCCCCTAAAAAATTTAGAAAATTAATATTTATCTGCCCTGGGCTGCCTGTCATGCGGCCCTTGATGGCTTGCCAGAACTCAGTAAGCAGCTCTCTGCTCAAAATAATTGCCCGCCCCTGCTCTAACATTTAGCTCAACCACTCTGCCCTTCACAGGGTCTTTTTCATACCACCCCCTCTCACAGGGTCTCTTTCATACTACCCCTCACTGAGCCACTCTCAACCCACCCTACTCGATGACTCTATATGACTCTTCAGGCTTTCCTACTGATTCTTCGGCCAGACCACATGCAGCCCTTCAAGCCACCATCACACAGACCCTACTCAACGTGTCTGCCAGCCACTGGGCTGAACTCAGTCACTAGCCCCTCTCTAGCCCGGTGGTGTTCTCTCTGTGGCTGCAGTCAGCAGACTGCTGGCTCCCCTGAGGGCCTGAGCTAAAACGGAGGCTGCTCAGCCCTATCCCCCTATCACAATTCCCTCCTGCAGTCATGTGGCTACATCATCAAGTATGGCCTGTACCTGCTGGCTGCCCTGCTGCCTGCTCTCAGCCCTTAAAGTGGCAGGCACCAAAGGTGTTCTACCACACCAGCATAAATTACTTAGGATGCCCACTAGAGTGAATATCCATCCCAGTTGGAAATACAGGATTTCTGGGTGCATTGCAGGCAGAGGACAAGTGGCATGCTATGACAAGCAAACAGGTCAGCTACAGTGCCTGCCTGGTCACCTACCCTGGGACACCATGTTGCTTTCCTTCTCCACCAGACTATGCCTTGCCCCCAGGACATTCATTTTAATCTATTCTCCACACCCAGGAGGATCTGCAAGATATAATCACTTTTTTGTCAATACATACACACACACACACACACACACACACACACACACACACACTCTCTCTCTCTCTCTCATGGTACTGCTTGATTATGCTGTGTATACTGTGCAAACATTTCACAGGAAGTGCCAAACACCTTAAAAAATAGAGCTTAAATTAGCACTGTTAAATGATTGCCAAAGATAGAAAAAAACTGCTTGAAAAAGAAGTAGGGAAGCCATACATTGTTAGGAAAGACATTCGTTCTCCAAATTTGGCAACTATTGACGCTACCACCACCAAACACTGGAAGTAGTAGCCAAATGCCATCCTTTAAGAACCACTGAAATCAGTGATGCATAACATATCCGAAACCACAATCCACTTTTTATATCGTGACACAACGTTAAAAACTTGATAAATTAAAATTCTTTAAAAGAACAATTCTTCAACTTTGAAATAAAACCCTATTAATGTCTGTAATGGGGCCCCTACCATGTTACTAGGGAGATTGGGTGGTTTATGATTTAGGGTCTCACTGGTACCTTCCCCCCCACTATTCCTCATTTTCACCTCCATCTCTCTCCCTGTACATCCATGCACTTCTTGCCTTTATTTTACAGTGTGGTCTGAGTTGGTGGGTCTCTGGGTGCTGCCACAGTTTACACACAAGCTGAGGATGAGAAGCAAGACAGCTGCTGAGTGCAGGTGTAGACATAGCTGGATGACCCAGGAGGCAGAAGTGAAGAGTCATGTGACCCAGAGCCTGGTGCAGGCTCAAGCCTTAGGCCAGAGAGGGGCAGTCTGCCTGGAGGAGCTGCCAAGGGCAGAAGCACAGATGGTGGCAGAGGGAGCTTAGAGGAAGAGAGGTTGGAGACTTGCACAGAAATTGAGCTAAGTACTTTGTACACTTTTCTGTTTTGTTTTCTTCCTATGTGTAGCATGCCACACAGGGGTGAGGTAAACCCCTGTGGGACATTGCTGTGCCCAGGGATGGGCATTGGCATTTTGGGTGATTTTCATGTTTTGTTTCTTGGAGCACTGAGTTGAAACTGAAGGGGAGGCAGAGACCATGGAAGTGAGTTAACTGGGGACACCCTGAAATTGAAGCTCAGCTGAGCAGGCAGAGCATGAAGACTGGGGTACAATTTGGGACTATTAGAGTATGACATGGTGAATATCATGAGTTTTGGGACCTGGGAGTCACAAAGCTTGAACAAAGCTGAAGACAGGCCCTGGATAGTAGGCCCCAAGCTAGAAGGCTCAGCTAAAGTATGTAGCAGGCTTACCTTTTCAGAGCTTGGGTTGACTCCCAGGATCAAAGGTCTGCTGTTTGATTGGTGGAGCCCACCCACCAATCTGGAGGCAGCACAAGAGAAGTAATGCCCAGCCCTTTTCCAAAGGGAGGGGGCAAAGAGCAGCTGGACCTGAATCAGAACTGCACCAGTCAGGTCTGGAGAACTTTGGGGGTGGAGCCCCTGAAGAGTATAAAAGAGAAATGTGCTCAGCACGCTAGGGAGAGTGAGGAGAGAGGAGCTCCAGAGACAGCCATTGTCAGGACCCCACTTGAGCTTCAGCAGTGCGCAAATTGGTGCATTGGGATCAAACTCTAGGAGCAGCTCGAGGCAGCTTGAGCCTACGAACCTAGCAAGCAGCTGGGCAGCAGGTGTAAAGATCGGCACATGAAGAGCTGGCCCTGGGAACCTAAACTATCTTGCTCAGTGTATTAATTATTATATATGTGTTAAATTATATGGTTTATGTGAATTGTGGGATATTATATGTAGTGTCATATGCTAAGCTTTATTGTAAATATTTCATGTTTTATCTTACGTATTTATTATAGCAATAAATTGTATACAGTTAAGCACTTGGTCTCGGCCTGTAGAGAGGAGAGGGAACTGTTCTAGTAGCTGGCCCCTCCATCAGCACCCTGCCTGACCCCCACCACTGTCATTGGAGGACAGGGCACACCCCTCTGGGTGTACCCGGGCTACATGTAAAAGTGAGACAGGGCTGGGAGCCTGAGGGTACAGGCTCTGGGAAGCCTCTGAAGGCGGGAACTCTGTAGTAACACCCAAAGGATGCCTACAGTGTCCAACTGCTGAGATAACTGTGACTCTCTCTCATTATTCTAATTTATTTTTATTGCAGTAGCATCTTGTGACAGGCACTTTAGAAACAAAGAACACAGACATACTCTCCACCTACTTAATATTTTTTTAAAAGCCCTTTCTTGGTGTCCTGGCCTTCATGCCTCTACCAGGGAAGAAAAAAAGAAGATCCTACTTTTCTTGCTATGGCAAAGTTATCAGGATGGACAAATTTCCTGTAACTAGCTATAGAAGTTGGTGGGTCAGATCCTGAGCTGATATAAATGGCAGTTTATACCCACTGATGGTCTAAGTTCAGTATCCTGCCTATTTTCATATTATTAATGTCAAGCAATGAGGTTTTCAGAGTCCTGTAAATCAATGGGAACTTGGGTCCACTTATGCTGGAGATAAATTTGATCCATTTTGGGCACATCTACACATGAAATGAGTATGCCTGAATAAACTCTGGTGCAGGTCATACCAGAATGTATTGTTCACAGGCACAATGTTTACATGTGCTCCCAGGAATGGAGTACGTTCAACCAGAGCAGTGCAGCCCTAGCTAGCAGGGGTCAGCCTGCCAGTCTGAACCTGCTCTGCCCCAGCTCAACATGCTGCAGAGGGGCAGACTTGGGCATAAGCGAGGCTAGCTGGTAGGCAGCCCCCACACTGTAGCACCTTCATGACCCAGCCAGCCTCAGTCACCAACTACATGCAAATAACTCCACCACAGGATAGTATTTGTGTTGGGCAGTACTATCCTATTGTGGAATTAACTAACTTTCTCTGGTCTAATAGTGCTGCACATTTAGGAAGTGACGCTTTACTGCAGAGCTAATTAGTCAATGCTTCAGTAAAGCGCATGTGTAGATGTCCCTTTTTTGTTCTACAAATCCCCCCAAAAGAATCCTAAAAATGCTAGGCAATTTGTCTGCAGAAACATACATATAGCTCTGCATCAGTGTAAAGTCTGCATACAGTATACAGAAAGAAATGTTGGGAACTGTTGCATGTTGATTGCTGGCACTTATCTATCTTAAGATGAACCACACAGAATCTGACTATATTATCTCTCTAAGCTGTTCTATGTGTGTTTGTTTATAACATGCATAAGTACACAAACACTATCAAAACTTTTTATTGTTTTTTTAGATTGATTTAGCAAAAAATGCAGTGCTCATTTTGGTAAGCTAGCAATAAATATCATTATACTTGGTACTGACACCTTGTATAATTTGAAAAATGATGTGACTTTTGAACAAACATGAACATGCCATAAAAGAGGTGTTCTTACATTAATTAAAAAAATCAAGTCTACAGGCTGGGTAATGAGCCAGAAAAGAGCTCGATTTTTAAACATGTATTACAGGGCATGAATTATGTCCCTAGCTATTTGAAGGCATTTATTGCCTGTATTATAAAAAAAGACCTATGGTATCAAGGGCTATCTTCAAAAAGGCAAGGAAAATGTGCAATGCAGATAATATGCAAAAAATCCAGTTTTGGCGTGACAGCATCTTAAAAATAGGCATGTTTATACTTATTAAATATATGTATTTGTGGGCTAGGAGTTTGTTGAAATACCCTGGAGTCTATACTGTGGCCTTTAATGGATTTTTGGATCAATCTACACTACAGACTCTGAATTTAGGAGTTGGCTCTAAGAAGAGGAAATAACATGACTTCAAAATGCACTGGAAATAGCATGACATTCAATACCATGTATTACCATATCTATAAAATGTACAGTGTATTACTGGGTTAATTTTTTGGGCAGGTTTCAAATACTGTATTTTCTCACATACAACATGCACTTCCCCCCTCACCCTCAACCCCCTCCCCCAACAGTTGGAAATTGTAATGCGCACTATGTCTGAGAATTATGGTAAAAGCAGTTTCTGCAGTTACTGGGCAAAGGCAAAAGTAAAATTTGCCCATAATTCACAACAGAAAAATGTAAACATTAAGTAGGTTTGGCTCCCTAGCTGCTGCTACTCAGTTACTTGCAAGGAAAGATTTTGTTTCATTCTGCCTTTCAAAATCAAGATATATATTTTATTCCAGAGCATGTTTATATGAGAAAATATGGTAACTCAGGACCAACGTAAAGCTAATCCATCGTGGACACAACAGCATGAAAGAAATACTGTTCCTACCCTGCACTGTGGAAAAAGAACCCATAAAATATATGTGAGGGACTATACCATGCTGGTATATTGTTAAAGCATATTTTTATTCATAGCATGTGTACATAATAGTTATAATCCTACATAAACACAAATTTAAGATTACTTTTACCTCAAAATGAAGTTTCTATAAAATAAACTTAAAGAAGGAAGTAAGAGAAAGAGTAAGGGAATAAGAGATAATTTAATTTTTTTTAAATGTCAGTGCAAAAGGTGATTTTTCCACATAAGCATTAATATGGACAATCCTGAATTTACACACGAGACAAAGACAATGAAAATGATACATCTTATTTCATTTTTCAAGTAAATGTAACCACTGCCTTAATTTCAGTTTCTCAACTCAATACAATTTTTGCTAAAATAGTAAATAAAAAATATTAAACTTAAAATATTAGCCTTTTATGTACCAAACACTAGACTGACAGGTTAATATTCTTAGCCTGTGGAAACAGATGTCACATGATTAATGTTAAGAATGCTACTCCAACCTATACCATCTAAGGATCTGGTCAAGTCATTGTGCAATGGTAAAATATACAGAAAATATCTTAGCTATAAAAATGTACAAAATTTTATATACATACATTACACACAGCTAAAGCAAAAATCACACTGGTATTATGGGAATAAATGTATGCATATATTTATCTGCCAAAACATGTATGGTGCGTGTTAAGGTTTTTCATTGCATTTCTAGTTCTTTTATGCACTGATTCATTGCACATGCCAAAAATGTATGCAATAAAACTGTATATTGTGTAAAAAAAGTTATTTGCTAACAACTTACAAAGAGGAAGTCAATCAGGTCAGTGGGAAAATACAGAACAGCAGCATGAAGGACACTGACACAAGAGCAGTACTGGGTAAATGATTTAAAGTTTTGCCAGAAACCCAGAAGGGAAATTTCCTTTCCTGAACTAGATGGACATGTCTCTCCTGCATATGCCTCCCTAAAGATTTCCCAGTATCCAAGGACATCAAATCCATTGAGTCATCAGGCCGTTTTTCATTGAATGATGAGCTTCAAGACATGACAGAAACAGCTATGACTAGTACTGCTCATAAGTAAAATATTTTATGTGAAGTTTTACAAGTAGTTTTATAGGAGTTTGAAATAATTTAGAAGGGAGCCCATTTTTCAACTCCATACACTTCTTTGCAGAAGGAAGGAACTTCAAATTTTTTCATATTGAGGGCCACATTTTACAAAAGATTATTTTTTTGACCACTCTCTTCCATTAATGCCAGTAACTGCAGAAAACATTTCCCCCTCATTTTCAGACACATTACATTTCTGTGGCAACAATAGCAACTGCTTACATAAAATAGCGATTTAGCAGAAGTTCATCCATCCCCTCAGCTATCATTTTTTTTTGCCTTCTGCAAAAAGAACAAAGCAGCCTTTTGCATTTCATCTCCCCTACTCTCCCATAGCTCATAATCCTCCTCCAGCTAGAAACAGAGGAGGAATGCTAGCAAGCAGCAATCCATACCCTGCAGTCTGGGTAACTGTGCTAGTCAGATTTGAAAAGGCTTAAATTCATCTGAACAATTAAAAAACAAAAAAGTTATTTTTCAAACGCTTATAACTCAATATCCCACAGTTGTATTTGCTCATTCTAAGGTGGATTCTGTACTGAGTTGGGGAACAAATATGAAGTCTCCTTAATACAGGTGTGTATCAACTGCAGCAAGGATGCTCAACCTCCAGCCCATAGGCCAAATGCAGCCCGCAAAGCCATTGGATCTGGTGCAAAGGGCTCCCAATGGGTTGGGAAATTTGACAACAGGGGAACAGTGGCCATTAAAATGGCTACCTTCCCCCCTGCCAAAATCCCAAACTGCAAGTCCTACATGTTTAGTCAGAGCTAGGCTGTGCCTTCTCCTACCCACGAAGCTGAGTGTAGCAGGGAGCTGGGTTCTGGCCCCACTACGATTGCCTC